ACTAACATTAGTCAGCTGCTGATACATATGAACTCTTATGCAAAGGGTTGTATATATCATGACTACTCATACTCAAAAGGCTGTATATATGTCTCTAGAATGCCAACGGTCAGTGCTCTATGTGGGCATGTATTTATTTATACATGCATCTCTTCTACTTTAAGGCTAGAAGATAACAAGGATGGTCATTGTAGCACTAAGACTCATAGGGAGGAGTTTTGGAATCTGTACCTGAACTTGTGGGTGATAACTGTGATATTTATAAGTTAAAAATAAATGCAAAATAAAAAGTTATTTATAGCTTGAAAAAAAATCTATCATCTGCAATTTGGAATCTGTCCTGATGAAGCAGTGTTAGAATTAAAGAGAAGATAAAAAAAATTCAGATCACAAACTGCAAGGCATTCAGCAATTCTGTATTTACAAAGCTCATGCCAATGAACATTCATGTACATTTATAACCAATTAATGGTTTAGATAGTATCCATATTTTCTTAAGTAGCAACTATTCTAAAGTAAAGTACAATAGGTCATAGTAAACCTGTTTTGCAGGGGGAAAAAAACTACAAGTGGAAGTTATCTGTACAAATATTTTCTTAAAAAGTAAAACTTCAAAACTGAACACTTAACAAGGAAAAGTGACCTTCTTAAAGTCCAACAGGCTTTTTACCCCAGAATGTATTTAAGCTTCCATCATAAATCTAACACTGAAAGGACACTAATTTGGGCATGGAATTTTATTTTCAAGACAGGAGATAAAGATAAGGTCAAAATACACATTTTTAGTCTGCCTGAACAGTTTAGTTTACCAAAAGCTAATGAACTACTTAAAAAAATCCAGTGATGCCAATACATCATTTTGATATAAAACACTTACATTCAAATAGACTATATTGCATGTGCACTATGGGGACGGGTGAAATGAAGCCTTTCCATTCTCTCAACCAAAAATGACCTACTTTTCTAACTTCTCTTGGTATGATAAATGGTGTGACAGAAATGGTGAATGCCTTCTTTTTTCTAGAAAAAGGTAATGTTTTCCCCTAATACAGAGACGTTCATTTGCCCCTACATTATTGAAAAGAGACAAAGTTACCTTGGAGGAAGAGGGGGAGTATACTTTATGCCAATGACAATTTACATATTTCTTGCTTTGTCTAGTACTAATTATGTAAGAAGGGCTCTGTCATAGGGTAGCTGGCCCCTGTAGATAGACTAGGCCCAGCTCCCCTGGATCAGGGCAGGTGAGTCCAATCAGCCAGTTAAAGGGGGCTGAGCTACACATCAGCCTATTAAGCACTGCCATCAGGCAGGAAGGTGGTGACTGATTAGGACAGGCTGTGCCTCAGGGGAGAGAAACACACTGGAGTTGAGCTAACTCTGGTGGTAGGTCCCCTGTAGCAAGGGACCAGGTGCTCAGAGAGACAGCCCTGAGGCTGCTGTCCCAGACTGGGAACAGAGCTGGTCAGAACTGGGAAGCTGCCAGAGGCCCGAGAGGGGCACAGCTGAAACCTGAAGGTGAGGACTGACTTAAAAGACTGTTTTTCTGTTTGTTTCCTTGCTTCTATTAAGAAAATAAACCCCCTTGAAAGAGACTGGGCATGACAACGTATATTTGGGAGTTTGAGAGAAGCCCTGCTTGGTGACAGGCCCATTTTCCATTACAATCTTTAAGAAAAAAGTTCTGATGAAAAATAAAAAAAAAAGTAGGTGAGTTTTAATACTAGCTGTAACAGTGTAAAAATCTTGGGAAAGCCTCACAGAAGGAAACCCAGTATTTTGAGTAGAAATGTAAAATTTAATCTTAACTTAAGCTTTTCTGTTATTTATAAATAAAACTAAGATTCATAAGAACTATTTTTAAATATGGCCTGATTTTCAGATACTGGTCATATCTGGTCACTGCATGCATTTTGCATGAGCACATTCAAAAGTGTTGGTGAACAAAGCACCATTGATGCTTCTCTTAAAAATCAGGCCCATTATTTGTTAAATAATGAATTTTAGTCTGAGAAAAGCAAAATACTGTTGCATGCACCATACGTTAGGTAATATACTGCATCACAACAAACTGTACTTTAATAATTTTTAGCTAAAATTTAAGTGATTATGTGGAAACACCTATAACTCCATTTCTTAGATATGACTGAATATACTTAATGAGGATTCCTTACAGCCAATATATTAACTGCTAAGAAACATTTTTAAACTGCAAACCTTACCAGCATTACATTCACTACAGATAGGTGAATTGTAATGTATTGAATGGTATCATTATGAACGGCATAAATAGAAGATGGTTGAGATATTCTAAATTGCTGTAGGGCTTTCAACTGATATTTTTTTAAACCCAAATGGACAACTCAGGTAGCAAAGCACTATACCTGAGTGTGTTTGCCAGACCAAACACTTCATTTCTAAAGTAACATTGTGAGGGTAACAATGGCTATTATAGAAAACAATATGAAAATTGATGTAGGAAATGAAGCAGTGGATTTTCTATTTCTATTGTCAAGAATGCTTACTACTAATTTTCTCTCTGGCTGAGAAAATTAAGTCTGCCCTGTAGGGATGCTAAAATGTTTCATTCTAGTATGCTATGCTTCAGCACAGGACTACTTTCTTCTAACGCTCGCAGCTAAACAAGAACCAGGTCAGATTTGATAAGTGTCTTTGTGGGAAATAGTGTCTAATATTTTCACTATACATTTGCATTGTTAAAATATAGTGCAACATATCAGTACATTTCACATTCAGTATAGTCACTGTAGTTTTACCACAGTCTTAGTTTATAAAGCTGTAGGGTGCACTGATTTAAATCGAAGTGATTTAAGTCCCTTATTTTAATCAGCAAGCAGGAATTTAATCTTGTTTTGTATTTGTACTTTTAGTGTTCTTCCCTAAAGAAAGGTTCATTCTTATTGGTTGGTATAACCATTAAAACATGTTTAATCAAATATAGTCAACACTAAATTTGGTACTTTTTTGCTAAATCAGGAGGATATTCTATATACACATTCATTTAAACAATTATATCGCTTAACATACATTTACTCAGATTCTTAATTTGTACATTGTTAGAAAATGATGAATGAAGCATTTATTTACTAGTTTTTTTGCTCTGGATTTGTGTCAAGCCGTATTTGGAAACTGGAATTAAATTACAAATATAAAAAACAGCATTTTAAAGTTGTTTCTTAGTTAAATAAAACTATTTAC